AAACAGATGAAATTAAATTTAATATTTTTAACCCAATAACCAAAAATGATTATTTCAACATGTAATCAATATAAAAATTATTAATGAGATATTTAACACTTTTTCATACTAATTCTTGGAAACCCTGAGTATATTTCACACATAGCACATCTCAATTTGGATTAGTCTCATTCAAGTGCTCGACAGCCACATATGGCTTCTGGCTACCATATTGGAGAGCATGACTCTAGAAAATGGTAATAAGCAAGGCAAATGGCTTGATTTAGTAGATATCCAGGAACTCCAAGTTTGGATATACAGTATCTCAAGGGTCTGGAACAGACTTTCAAAATCACTAGTCCTAATATTCACTTGATATTTGAATCTTTTCTACAATGTCCCTATTAACGGGTCATCCAGACTAGTGCTTGACTGGCATTTCCAGGAATGAGAAGATCACTGCTTCCTGAAGCTACCCAGTCCATTGGGGGACAATCTTAAGTCCCAAAAGTCCTTGCTAAGGGCACAAGCAGGCTGGTTTATGGTGGTCTGAGGAGCCTGGTTGGTCTGGGCTAACCTTAAGGGGTTAGTTGGGTTAGGAAGTATTGGGAGAGTTTGGTACTAAAAAATTGACTGTAGGTTGGACAGGATAGGAACCGTTAGACTGAAGGCTGGGTCTGGACATCTGGTTAAAATCGTCAGCCACACTGCAACAAGAGTAACGGACCCCCCCAAAACTGTACATATGCTAATCTCACTAATCTGGAGATTCAGTGCTTGGGAGAATAATTCGAATTATCATAAACTTTTAAAAATTTCACAGTAAAGTAAAACATAACTGGGTTATAAATTAAAGAAGGCTATCACTTGTATAAGACCTGTATTACAAATAACATTATCCTAAATGGTAAAGTACTTTATCAAAAGAATTAATTTCAGACCCAGTAATCAGAGGCACTTTCAAAGTCTTAATCCCTATCTCGATTTTAACATGCTCCTTACTCAAAAACACCCTGGAAATCAAAGACAGAAAACTTTTTTTTTTTTAATTCAGTAAAAATGATACTGACTGCCTGAATTTTGAAGGATTCTGACTGGGTGACCTTTGAAATAATAAATTTTTGCAATAATTGTATTTCTTCTGTTTTCTTTTTTCCCTTGGAAATGAGAAAGTGTTCTTTTCCGGGCTACCGTCACCCTCCCGCCCTGCCCAGTTCTACCTTTCCAAGGCAGGGGAAAGGTGCATCCTCGCCAGGGCTCCTGCCAGCGCCTCCTAGTACCTCTGGCCAGCAGCCGGTGAAGCGACGCGCCCTGGACGTCCAGTAACGTTTTATACTACACTCTGCCCCCGCCGGAGCTTCTCCAGATTGTACACCGAGGCCCCAGGCCCCCCCCACACGCCCGCACA